CTCTCAGCATTCTTCTTAACGTGTTCTTTCTATTAATAGCAAATTATCTCCTTCAGCTTCTGAAAGGTTAATTCTCCCAGCTTTCTTCACCTTTTTTTTTTTTTTTTTGTTGGAAACAGTTCGTTCTTTTTACCTCCTTTCCTTAGGCTTCGGGTTTGTCTGCAAAGTTTGTTTGCCCGCTGAGACCTGAATATCCAGGCGTTGCTCGACCATAAACTGAACTTGGGTGAACACATTCAATTTCTTTATTCCGTTAGTTGCGAGTTAGAGGTCTTGGAATTAGATCTTTTGTTTTGTGATTTGAGAGGTTGTTCTGTTTGGGTAATTAAACTTGGGGGCTCCTGTTTTTAATTCTGGATGGGTCGCTAGGCATCTCCTTTAGATTATCAAGATTGTTTTGCTTTTTAGAGAAAGATAAGGGATTTTGGTCCTTGTGTCTGTTGTTTTTCTTTTCAAGTAAGAAGCTTACATTTGATGGAAAAGGAAGAATATATTTTCTCTCTCCTAGGCTCTGATTTTCGCCTTCTGTAAATCAATTTGTTGTCTTACATAATTAATCAAGCCGTCTAAACCTTGCCAGAAAACTGCTCAAGCTCTGAAAGCAACTGTTGTTTTGCCATTTCTGAGGATGGCTTTCCAAAATGATGTACTCTGTTCGTTCTGAAATGGAATGAAGTGTTAAGAACTAGAGAAGTTCTTGAGCCTTGTCTGTATTTGCCACTGATCATGTTATTGTTGGGCTCTGGCTGCGTTTTCTTAACTGGCCTTGGTGACTGACTGACACAAAGTGTTTTTTTCCTTCAGAATCTTTCCACACTAAAGCTGATAATGACAAGAGCTGAGTTCTTACATGCAGTATTATCTTAAAGGATATTTTCTTTTGGTACTTTCTGTTCTGGTTTAAAGAAAATGAATCCAATCTCTTCAGGTTTTGTTTTGGGTTTGTGGGGTTTTTTTAGCTGTGGTAACAAGCAGGATTAACTTATTTCTCGAGTTGTGTTTGTTGAAAAGACACAGTAGGTGTAATGAAAAAAGGTAGGTGACTGTGAGTGGGGAATTACTTTGCATGGGTTAATGGATCAGCACCTGAGTTGCCATTTGTGGCTGGAGGATGAGGAGAAGGATTTTGTATTTGGTTGGCAAATAAGGACAGTTTGCTCTGAGCCACTCTTCCTTTTGGGGTTCTCTGAACATGAAGAAAGCAGTCTCTGACACGGTTTCTTTTCAAAAGTGACTTGTTGAAGCTAGAATCTGTGGTATGCTGTTCATTGCTGCAGGTACATGTATTTGTAAAGAAAATATATTCTTTATTAAATTCATGTCTAGACTGCTGACCTGCTGTAATTGAAAGGAATTTTTCTTTTGAGTTTGGGCGATGATGGTTCCAAATTTTAACATTCTGGGGTTTTTCTGCCTTGAAAAAGGATGCCCTTTGCTCTGTGTATTTCTCTCCCACCCCTTTTCTGTCTGATGGTGGGAATGGGCAGTGATACTTACTAAACAAAGTTTTGTTTTTTTTTTTTCTTTTCTGGATTTAAAGGACATCTGTAAAACACCCAGGCTAAGATTACTCTGCTTTCTCTGGGACCTATGCAGTTTGCTACATTACATTTATATGCCCCCCCATATCTGCGTTGTTAAGTTTACTTTGTGCCATGTAACTTTTTTAAATGGTCAGCTAAAATAAGAGTAATCAGTTTAAAATGTGAAATTCCATGTGCTGGTGGTGTGCACTCACATTCTCAGTGTTTGTACTGCCCAGTGCAGCTGCCAGTGGTGTTCTGTGTCTTTGGAAGGAATCCTTATGGAAACTGTTAATGGAACTCGGTGGAGCCTTGGAGAATAAAATGTTATTTCAGGGCAGTTCAGTGAAGGATGACAATAGGAAACTGACTCGTGTTCCCATGTAATTGGTATGCTGAGCCTTTTTGTGTGTGGCTGTTCTGCTCCCTTGGCTGAGGCCCCTTTGGCTGTTTGTAACCTACAGGCTCATCTAACTCGTCCTTTTGCCTTCTCTCCCTTCTGTCTTTTCAAATACCTGCTAGCTCAGTGGTTTTGTTGCTTTGTTTTGGTTTTTTGGGTTTTTTTTCCCAGCCCTGATAGAAAGGGCATATTGTAATGTCAGCTGCTAGGGAGGTAGATGGGAACTGGACCTGAGTTCCCCTGCTCCTGCCTTGCTTTTTGTGCTTGCAGGCAGGTATTGTAATCCACTGGGACTGTACAGCTACTGTTACCTAGAATCAAAGGAGAGAAAAAAACTTTGTTTTTTAGTTTTGGGATAGTAACAAACAGACCTTTCTTTGGAAGCTTTCAGGTGTCTGGTCATGATGGGCACACCTGGCACCAGATTTCTGCTCTTACAGGGTTAATTAATTAGGGTGTAACAGGTACATCCAGAGATTCAGTTGCCACAGTAACCCATCCCTGGTCAGCCCCTTGGAGCTGGTCCAAGGGTTCTCTGCCCACTTCTTATTATGTCTTATTGTAGGTCCCCTACTTAGAATAAGACTAAACAATATTCCAGGAATGTGTTTAGAAGGTCAGCTTATTGTTCTAAAATCGAAGGGAAAGGGTAGGAAAAGTACCAGAGTTAATGAAGGAGCTGTATAACTATATAATAGTTGTCTAGAGAGCTGCAAATACATGAAAAACGTATAAAAGGCAAAAATCTTTTTGGCATCGCTACCAGACTGGGATGTGGCAGGTTCATGGCTGGAAATGGAAAAAGCTCATTTGAAGCCATCGTGGTGTGGTGCTCTCCTGACCCAGGGAGTGCTGAGGAGCAGGCGGGTCTGGCTGTGATTTGCTGTTCATCATTCAGCTGTTCATGGATTCACAGCCAGCAAAGGAAGACAACAAAACATCATTGTTACCAGTGCAGGAATAGAATAACAAGTTGGCATCTTTCCTGCAAAAAGCACAGGTGCTGTGTCAGTGACCTGCCCAAGCTGGGCAGGTAAAGGTTAAGTCACGTTTTAACATTGGTGTTGTTAAAACACTTCAGCACAGGAGCAGGACATGGATCAGGGGTCTGGAGGTGGCATTTACAGTCATGTCTTAGCCTTGCCAAAAAGAAATCTTTCTTGTTGGACCAGAGAGCTCCTGGAACACAAGGGAAGGTTTTGCTCTTTGAAATTCTAGAGTGCTGACTTCAGTATTCCATTTCTGTGGGAATTCTGCTTGCTCTTTTGAAGTCTTGTAAAGACTCTTTAAGATGGAAAAATTAGATGACTTAGGCATTTAGTTTCCAGGAGTTACTGAACTCATGCTGTGACTTTTGATTCTTTTGTTCACAATTAAGACACTAATGATTTACTGTGAAGAATTTAATAATTTGTCATTTACTTTTTTTTTTACTTTTTTAATCTGAAGATGAGGAAATTTATAGACAAATTTATCTCTAGGGGTGTTCTCTACATTATACATTCCAGAACCTGTTGAAAGATGAAGGAATTGGTCATTGTATTGAGGTCATCTTGTAGCATAGAATGGAATTAGATATATAGAATTGTCTTACTGATGAATGAGCCATTTCCCAATCTGAGAATTCATGTGTTGGTATCAGAGAAGATGGGATTATTCTAGAGTTTTTACCAGTTCTTTTCCTTAGTGATTTTATACTGCATGTCAGACTCAGCATGCTGGATGTCTCACAATTTTGAGAATGTTTAAAAAACCCTACACACATCAAAAAAAGCCACAAAATATGAATTCCTCTTCTGCCCCAGCAAAACTTGCTTTGTTGCCATATTAGAGTTTGCTCTATATTATGCTTTCTTCCAGCTTCCAGGTAGGTGACTTCTGTATATTGCTGAATTTTAATTGATCCCGTTACAACTTCTGGTTCCCAGCTTTGTGCCTTGCCCCAGTTGGTGTTTGGATATTGCTGCTGGTTTGTTCTGCCTGGGCTGGCAGAGATACATGAGAGAATCACCCTTGGTTTCTCCAAGTCCCTCATGACAACCCAGACCTTCTGCCTGTTCCCTTCCATGTCACACAGCAACCTGAGAGATCTTGGAGCTTGTCTTTCCAAAATACTTGGCAATACTCTCTCTGCTGGCTGGGAGCACTTTAAACAGAGATTCACCCAGCTGGCTGCTGGGGCAGAGGGGCAGTGCTTCATTTCTAGCTTGTAGGAAGATTTAAACCCAGTTTGGGCTGGCATGGAGGACTTGGAGAAACCAAAACAAACAGGTAAGAAATGATTCTTCTTTTCCCCAGGTGCTTACAGTCGTGCAGAGATGACAAAAGTATAATGGAAGAAGCCATCATAGACATGGTAGAAAGAATCACCTAATGTGAAAAATAAGCCTTAAACAAACACTCCCCGTGCCCTGTAAAATTTCCTAGAAGAATTGAATAATTTTTCCAGGTTAAATTCCCTAAAACATTGGCTTCTAAATATCTTCCAAAATTAGTTTGAGCTTTATGCTGTGTATCTGAACCTTAATTCCTTGGACATAATGAATAAATAGCTCCATAATAGTGCAAAATACAAGATTAAATGTCTAATATCTGGTTATTTAGAGAGCAATTTTCTGTGATGTTTTAGTAAATAATGAGATTTCAGAAGTAGCTGATAACTTAAATTTTGAAAAGCTATGACCATAGTCATCTTGTTGGTTTTCCAGATTGTCTTAAACTGTAAGCTAATTATCCTTTCTGCTGTGTGGGTAAGTATGGCTTGAATACCAGCTTGTTTCAGATGATGGGGGAATTCCCCCAAAATGCAGTTTTTAGTCTGTCATGCTTAATGCCCTGCCTGCTAACCAAGCAGAGATAGGCAGCTAATCATAAAGGCAACTGTGTTAGTCAATTCTTGTGCTGGTGTACAGCTTGAGAAATGAAACCACTCGAGTTTTGGCCTCATTCAGGATGGTATCTGGGCACCCTGCTTTTCTCACTGTAACAGTTTCACTCTTCTACTTGAAATTTATGCTGGAAGAGTGACACGTGTTCTTGGGATATCATTGCCATTTTTTTCCTCTGACAATTTTTTTGTTGTTTTGTTTTGTTTCCTCTTCTAGGTTGAAAGAAGAAAAGGAGACCAGCTTGTCCACTGAAGATGCACTCTTAGTCTTCAGCTATTTAAGCTGAATGCATTGTGATTTCCAATAATTGAGACAGTGATTCTGAAAGCTGTCTACATTAATGAAAAGAACAATGTAGTCAGCTTAACTGAATCATCAGTGTTGCATATTGAATAGGACATGGTAAACCAATCCTGATGGACTTATGCATGTTAGGAATATAGGGATAAACATTGATTAAAGCCTTGTTTTTTTTTAAAAACGGTAGTTTTAAAAATGGAGAACTATGAAAATGTACCACCCCTCCCTAAAGAACCTGCAGGAGAAATGAATGTGGAGAATGTCCCTTGTCGGCCCCCTCTGCCGCCCGGCGATCAGCCTCCACCGCCTCCCCTGCAAACGTCCAGTGACGCAGAGGTAATGGACGTTGGCTCTGGTGGTGATGGACAGTCAGATACCCCTGCTGGGGACACGGCCCCTCTCTGCAGGACACAGCAGCTGCTCACAAAGGGATCTGCCTGCTACAAAAGTCGTCTTCTCATAGACCCCAACAGCAGCGACCAAAGCCCCAGAACTGCTCGTCACGCACCGTCAGTCCGAAAGTTCACCCCAGATCTTAAGTTACTGAAGGATGTGAAGATTAGTGTGAGCTTTACAGAAAGCTGCAAAAGCAAAGATAGGAAAGTTCTGTACACTGGAGTTGAGCAGGATTATAAGGCAGATACGGAGTTTGGTATTAATAATGTCAATGGGGATTTGCATGTTTGTCCTTTCGGTGGTAGTAATGGTAAAGCTGCAGGGATAGGGGGTGAAAGTGATGAAAAGAAGGATGATGAAAATGATATTGATCAGGAAAAGAGAGTGGAATTTGCAGTTCTGGATGAGCTAGAAGACTTTACCGACAATTTGATGGAAATAGATGAAGAAGGAGGAGGGTTCGCATCTAAAGCAATCGTTCAAAGAGATAAAGTGGATGAAGAAACCTTGAATTTCTCCTATGAGGTAAGTAAATCCACACATCTTTGCTGGGTAAGAGGTTTCCATGTGGCTAGAAAAAAAAAATGCAAAGAATAAGCTGTTCTAGAAGTGTGTAGTACATGAGTCAAAACCACGGAATTTTTAGAGGCAGACCTTTGGCTGAGAAACTGTAAACTATTTTAGTCAAGCTTCTGAGTTGTGTTGTAGCTTTATAGTTTTCTGTAAAAACAACCTTTAAAAGTCTTCTCACACAATTGCAGTTCATTTTATCATCACAAACTTATTTTCTTATTTTGCAGTCTTTTTACTGGAATCATTGGAAATTACTAGTTTCTGTCTGTGTGGAAGTGCATATTCAAAATGTCTGCTTTCTCTTTGCAAGGGAAAAGGGAGGTTGGTAGGCCCAGAGGGACAGTGTCTGATGAAGTCTCTTTCAGGATGACTTTGATAATGATGTGGATGCTCTGCTGGAAGAGGGTCTTCGAGCCCCCAAAATCAGGAGATTGGATAATGAGAAATACGCTGGTGAAAGTGATCACCAGTCTGATGGAGAGACAAGTGTGCAGCCAATGATGACCAAAATTAAAACTGTGCTGAAGAGTAAGTTCATGTGCATTTAATAACTGTGGGTCCTGTTCATGGCTCGTGTCTTTAGAAAAAAGTTTAACAACAAGCAGAGTGTGAGACAGCAGTTTGTGTGAAATTGTTCCTGTGTTAGGGAATATTATTGTTGGGAGGCTTCTTATTGTGGGATATCATTTTTCATGTTCTTAAACAGTGAATTTGACTTGTGCTTTTCATCTATTGTATGTAATAAGAATATGTTTTAGTGTGTGGGTTTGTGTAAAATAATGAGGTGAACAAGGGTGATGTGGGGCTTTTGTCTCTGGCCTTTTTCCTGCTTCAGTTACATAACTTGTGCTGTTGAAATTGCCCCATGCAAGGTCTCCAGGAATGCAATCTAGGTTAAATAGAATAACTAGAAAAGTCAGTGGCTTACATTTATCCAATTTCATTGTTTTAGAAACTACTAATAAATAAAAGCTGAGAACACAAACCCATCCAGAAAAATGCAATGGAAAATATTCTGAATTAGAATTGGAACTTAAACATGTACTAGAGGAGTATTTTACGGCTTCAGTGTATTCTGAAATAAAAAAACAAATAACTTTTTGCTTCAAAATTCTATAGTAACAGAGGATTGCCAGGAAACTTCCAGCAAAGATGAATAGTCTCTGATTTGTGATTTGGAGACAAATGAGACCTTGTATTGGTGATGAGCCCTTTGCTGGCTGTTTGGGTCTGTGAATCTGGGGTATTTCAATGCAGATTTATTCCTGAGTGTCAAGTGAAAGATTCCTAATGGAAAATGAAGTTGTTTCTGAAGCAAGTATGACTTTTCCAGTAAATACTTTCCAGTGGTGCTTGTGATAAGTATAAAAAGACTAAAGAAAAGAGAATTCAGTGATGAAACAAACAAACCAGTCTATATAAAAATTATTGCTGCTATTGCCTTGAGTAGAGAACGTCATGGAATCTGTAATTTGCAGGATTTAACCTGGGTTAGAGGCATATACCTTGCTATTAGAACATCATCTCTCTACAAAACATTGTTAATCTTGTTTCAGTGCCATTTTATTCTTTGGAACAGAAAAAGCAATAAACAAAATCCTGGGTTTTATTTCTATTTTATTTCTATTCTCCTAAGCTGTCTGTCCAAGTTTAAAGCTGTTTTTTGCTTTAAAGGTCGTGGCCGCCCTCCCACAGAGCCTTTGCCAGATGGATGGATCATGACATTCCATAATTCAGGCATTCCTGTATATCTGCACAGAGAATCTAGAGTTGTTACCTGGTCTAGACCTTATTTTTTGGGAACAGGAAGCATAAGGGTGAGAGCTGTCAATTTTTTAAATACTTAAGATTAAAAAATTAGATCTATTCCTGAAAGCCACTGAATATTTTTCTGCTTTGGCAGGCTTGTTTCCAGTGTTTGAATTAAGATCCTTGAAAAATAAAGTATTTTATGTTTGAAAATCTGATACGATTTTTCTTAGGTGCTTTGCTTTTCTGTTTGGGCAGTTAAAGTGAATGAGATGATCTTGTTTGGTGCCTTCACTTTTCTAGTATGGCTGCAAAATTGGGAGTTTATTGCACCATGACACACATCTAGGGATGATTTATTTGTGGCTATAAATTAGTCTGAGTTGTGGCTTATGGTCCACGTTTGCAGAAGTAAGGGTATGACATTTTTGCAACTAAGGAATCTGCAGAAATTGGATTTAATGCCATGGGCCCATGCCTCAGGAAAGCTGAGTGGATTTTATGGAAGCATGCAGTATTTGCATGAACAGAGCTAAAGCAGCAGGACTGTGTCAGGGTCACAGTGTGAAGGCCCCCAGGGCAGCCCTGCTCAGCTCTTGAGTGCAATGACTGCACTGAGCAAAGAGGAGCTTGAGCCTAGACTGAGTACAGATAGCTTCCATCTTGCTTCATCTTTTGGGTTTGGGCTTTGCTTTTGGTGACATTGAGATACTGAAACCTTCTGTATTATTTATATTTGCAGAAACATGATCCTCCCCTTAGTAGCATTCCCTGCTTTCATTACAAAAAAATGAAGGAAAATGAGGAAAGGGAACAAAACAATGACATAACCCCCAATGGGGAAGTATCACCTGTAAAGCACTTAGATAAATCCTCAGAACTGGACTGCCAGACAGAAGAACCAGATTCCACTGCTGCTGATTCTGGGCCTTTAGATGACAAAGACCCCTCTGGGGGAGATGCAGCACAAGGAGCTTTGGGACAAGTGAAGGCCAAAGTTGAAGTATGTAAAGATGAATCTGTAGGTATGTATGGCAAGTAGAGTTTTTTCTTGACTTGAGTTGGGGTAATGGCATTTGGGAAATTTTATTCCAGACTTGGCTGCTGAATTATAATCTTTCCTGAAGCCCTGAGAGTCCACATGGAAAGGTTTTACACAAAAATAGTGAATATTTTGGTGGTTTAGTCCTGTAGACTTTATCTCAGGATAAGAATCAGTTATGTGAGTGTGTTCATTTGCTGTTGTGAGATGTGTTCCTGTGACTTCCTCAAGTAGGCTTTTCTGTGCACTTTGTCTTGGCTGAGTTATATCTGTTTTTCAGGATCATCTTTTAAGATAAATGATGTAGTTCAGCTGTATTTCTGTACTTGCACAAGTGTAGCAGGCTAAGTCATGCAAATACAATTGCACTCATACAGAGGGGTGTGATGCTTCATTATTTTATTTATACAACTCTGATAGCCTCTGCACAGAAAGTTGTCTAAAGACACCATGCCAAAATCACCATACAGTGGAGAGGAACTTGAAGAGGAAGCTCATGAGTTACTTATCAAATCTTTTCACATCTGCATACCCAAGAATCCCGTCCATGTAAATTGCTGCTGCTCAGGGCATTGGTATGGGTCATAGGCTGCCTTTATCTTTGTAGTGCTCAAACATAAATCTTGTCATTGTGTGTGTCATGTCTAGTCCAAAAACCTTGCCAAAAGATGTAAAACAAAACCCCAAATCATCAATATTTAGCTGCAAAATTCAAGCCAGGAAGCACTTACTTCTCTACATGAAGTTCACCTGTCTGTCTCTCCCTTTAAATAGGATCTGTTGTGTATTACTGAAAAAGATACTGAGTAATGGAGTATAAGCATGACTTGCATTTGTGATTCCTTGTGGAAGGAAACAATACCAGCAGCTTGCTTTTGTCTGTTTACATCTGTGGATACTGCTCTTTATTTTTGCTGATTATGTTTGCAGACTATCCTCTAAAGGAGAAGCAGCTGTTCTGAAAGGGGGCAGTCTCTGTATGTGAATTTATTGTGTTAAATTCTGCATAGAGGCTGCAGATGCCCATGGAGTTCATGGAACATCACTGTACAGTGTTTCATGGCACACTCATAGTAGGCAGGCAGCAGCAGCTGGGTTTGGCCTCAGGGAGCTGAGGCTGAAAGCACAACTGCTGCACTCACTGTGTACCTTGCTGCAGGTGAAGGGAAGGTGCTGAGATGTTCAAGCACACCAGTCACTGGTGTTTTATTGCAAATTGTGTTGGGTATTAATGCTGGTTAGGGATTAGTAAAATCATCCAGTGATAGAATAAGATGGTATTTTGTTTTTTTTTTATTTTCTGGATTGCACTTAACATTTTTGCATTTAATATAATAGGAGAACTTAAAATTACTTCTGTTAGTCCAAAACAGCATCTTTAACCTTTTGCTCCAAGTCTAAGAAAATAATTTCTGTGGAAATAGAGAACTTAGTGCTTGTTCAGTGGTGAAGCAGGAGAGTAACTTGGTTGTGTTTTCAGACCTGGAGGATTTCAGACGTTACCTGGAGAAGCGTTTTGACTTTGAGCAGGTGACAGTGAAGAAGTTCCGCACCTGGGCCGAGCGGCGCCAGTTCAACCGCGAGATGAAGCGCAAGCAGGCCGAGTCGGAGCGGCCCATCCTGCCGGCCAACCAGAAACTCATCACCCTCTCTGTGCAGGATGCTCCCATCAAGAAAGGTGAGCTGCTCTAGCTCCAGTTCACATAGGCTGTGGTGAAGCCTAATTCCACCTCTGAGCTTGACTGAAAATAAAAAAATCCTGTCATGAGTTCCCTTAATTCCTGATCCAGTATTTTGCCCATCGTATATTACGCAGGAAAGGGAAAATATTATCAAAATATACTTTTCTAAAGACTAATTTCTAAACAAAAATATTTTTATTTAAGGTTACAGTCCTGGTAAGTAATGACTACCTTCAGCTCTTGTTACTGCTGAGAGTTGCTCAGTATTGATCTGTTTGTAACAGAAATTATCTTTCCAAGTCTGGAACTAATGAGTTTCTTCCCTTCTTCCTGTCTTTTTTGCAGAGTTTGTCATTAATCCCAATGGGAAATCTGAAGTTTGCATCTTGCATGAATATATGCAACGAGTCCTAAAGGTTCGCCCTGTTTACAATTTCTTTGAATGTGGTAAGTCTGTTTCCTTAAACAACTCTATCCTGGTCTTGATGCTTAATCAAGAATCCAAAGATGTTGTGTATATGAAAAATGGAACTGGAATCAGGCTAATATTGGGGTTTTTATCCTAAGTGGTATCATGTATGTTCCATTAATTCTTGCTTTTGCTGTTCATTTGGGGTTTTTTAATTACCTTATAAATATTCAGAATTATGCTATTCCTGTATATGCAGTATATAATTCTACTGAAATTTCTATATCAGAGTGTGTAGCTGTTGTATTCACACCATGATGCAAAAAATTTGGAATTAGTATTTGAGTTCTGGCAGATTACCAGTGGTCTCTTAAAATACTTCATTCTTTATTTGGAAGAATAAAGTATATGGTGGCAAGTCTGTTAATGGAAAACTCTGTTAGATAATTTTTCAGTCTTTATGAAGAATAAAACATTTTCATCCCTCTTGAAGCTGAAATGAAGAAAACAAATCTTGATAGTGGTGACATTTCATGTATGTCAGGAGTTCTAGAAAGCTTTCTTTACTTTCCTCTTCCATTTCCAGAGAACCCAAGTGAACCTTTTGGAGCCTCAGTGATTATTGATGGAGTAACCTATGGGGCAGGAACTGCCAGCAGCAAAAAACTTGCCAAGAATAAAGCTGGTAACTTATTTTTCTTTCTCAGTAGCAGCTGCTGAATGGTTTGTTTGCTTTTTTGTACCATTCTGGGGTTCCAAGAGCAGAAGTGATTCAGTACTGGGGTTTGGCTGTAAGAGCTAGGGGGTGATAATAACTCTTAATTTTTGGTCTTAAAGGCTCCATGTCACTTCTAAAATGAGACGAGAATATTTTTTCCTTTTGTAGGCACTTTTAAAAAGTAGTTTCTTATTTCAATTAGTTATCAAGCTGAACTAGTAGAACATTTTTTTCCCTTGAGAAGTGTAAATGAATAAATTTCTTACCAGAAGAAAATGCCTGACAATTTTTAGATGAGATGTTTTTGTTTAAAATAAATCTAATCAAGATGTTTAATCACTTTCTGCAGCTCGAGCTACACTGGAAATCCTTATTCCTGACTTTGTTAAACAGACCTCTGAGGAGAAGCCCAAAGACAGTCAAGAACTTGAGGTACTGAGCTCGTGCTTCCTGGCTGGCATTGCACAAAACATTGCACAGTTGATATCAGAAACATTACTGAAAATTAGTAAGATTGTTTTCGCAGTCAAATGGAACTGCAAAATCCTCCATTTAGAGAAAGGCTTGGGGCAAATACTATTTTTTCTATTGGAGTAGATCAGAAAATTCACTCTGATGCAGAGAACTGGTTCTTTATTGACCAGCAGATCACTGAGCACCTGAGATGTTCCAAGGCCCCAGGGCTGCCCCGTGGTGCCCTCCCTGTAGTGCCCTCCCTTCAGAGTCCTCTGGCTGATGGCAGCCAATGCTCAGAGCCAGGTGCTGTTTGGTTCTGTGTGATCATCTTAGGACACCACTTCAGAAGTAAAATTGCTCAGGCGTCTGAGATGGTTTTATTACCACACAGTGAAATCCCATAGTTTGGTCAGTGACATTTGAGAAAATCAAAGGAAAAAAATTCCTTAAGAGGAGACTTGTGCTATTTTCTCAAGTACTAGGAGAATTAAGTAGCTCAGTTGTCAGTGGTACCATCAGTAAGGAGTAAAGGAAAAAATCAGTGATCAGCCTGAAAGGAATGTTTCCTAAAATGAAGTTATATACAGGAGTTGTTTGTACTCTTGCTTTAACTTAGAACTGTATTTTATGCCCTGCACTACTGAAATGGTAATTAAGGAAATGCAGACAATTTTTCCCATTCTTTTAAAATAAAATACCAAATGTGCCAATAGCTCTTCCGTTTTCTCTTAGTAAACAACAGTATTTTGGTAAATAGAGTTTCATAATTGGCTAAAATAACCTTGCCCTGAGGGAGAAATGATGATATTCATAAGATTATCATTTTTATGTACATAGTGAATGTAAGATCGGAGTTAAAATTTCTCTCTGCAAATGTTTGATTAGGTGTGACAGTTTTCATGATGTTGCTTTTAACCCATTATGGATTTAAAAACACTTTTTAAAGTGCTAAGCACAGAGCAACAGAATTGGTTGAATGTAGCAAAGGAGAAATGAGGTTTAAGGCCAATATTAGGGTTTTATTAAAGCACAATAACCCTTTTCAATTCCCTTGCAGTATTTTAACCATATCAGTATTGAGGACTCACGGGTATATGAACTCACCAGTAAAGCTGGACTCTTGTCTCCATATCAGATTCTCCATGAGTGCCTTAAAAGGTAAAGCTGCAGCAGGGGGAGCGTGTGAGGTGTGAGGGGTTGGCTCAGGGGCCCTGCCTGAGCCTGAGACACGTGCTGGGGGCTGGCCTGGCTCATGCTGAGTCCCCTGTAATTCACATTTGCTCTTTGTGCCTCTCTGGAGATCAGGATGTAGTTGTTGGACAAATGTCTTTTGTTTTCTCTCATACTGGGTTGCTTTTTCATTTAAATCAAGTTGCTGACATAAAAAAATCTCTTTGTTAATTAATGCATTGACATTTCTTATTAGATCTAATTTCATTGCAATGGCTGTCCAAGATGATAACTGCAACCACTTCACTTGTTTGTAGTTTTACTTAGCATGTGATCTTGATTGTGTTTGTGCTTAAGAAACCACGGGATGGGTGACACGTCCATAAAGTTTGAAGTGATTCCTGGGAAAAATCAGAAGAGTGAATATGTCATGACTTGTGGCAAGCACACAGTGCGAGGCTGGTGTAAGTACAGGATGGTGTGATGTGTGAATCTCCTCTTGCTCTCTCCTGTTCTCCTTTGCTGCCCATTCTGGGGGTGCTTGTTCAGCCACTGAGCCTCTTGTGTGCTTGTCGTGCTCTTTGGTGTCTCAGTTTTGACTGACTCAGGTGAACATTGTGGCTTTCATCACATAGTGTGCTGGCATTGACACACTTCCATGGCATTGACACACTTCCATGGTTATTTTTACAGGCAAAAATAAAAGAGTAGGGAAGCAATTGGCTTCTCAGAAAATCCTTCAGCTACTGCATCCACACGTGAAAAACTGGGGCTCTCTCTTGCGAATGTACGGCAGAGAGAACAGCAAGCTGGTTAAACAGGTGAGCAGGCCTTTGTTTGAGTATAACCTACCCTGGGGCTGGAGTTCTGCTTCTGCATTTCTAAATGAAGTTACAACAAAACTTTAAGTGCCTAGATTTCATTGACAGTAGTAATTGTGTTTAGTCTTGCATCTCCCATTTCAAAATTAAAGAACCTATTTAACTAACTCATGGACATAGATGTTCCTACTTAAGCAGTTGAACTAACTACAGACTAAACTACAGAAATACAACAGACTAAACTTGGCTCCACACTAATTTTTCTCCATAAAAACTGTTGATCAGTTGTTGCTCATAATTCTGTTGAATAGGAAACCTCTGACAGAAGTGTGATAGAACTTCAGCAGTATGCCAAAAAGAACAAGCCAAATCTGCACATCCTGAACAAGTTACAGGAAGAAATGAAAAAACTGGCACAGGAAAGAGTGAGTATATATTCTCCTGTATTTACAAACTGCATGCATGTCATGGGTCATGTGTATCAACCCCATCAGGGGTTTTTTGCTTATTTTACACAGTATTTGAAGTAAAGAGAGCTCTTCAGAATTTGATTGGGGGTCTACTTCTGGGGAGATTGTCATGCTGTTTTTTAAACTGGCTCATAACTGGATTGTTCCTACTTCTGTACATTCATTTTTAACATTAGCCCTAGTTAGCTTCTTGCAACAACTGCCATGTTTGGCTAAAATGGTTCAGAATTTTTACTGGTTTATGATTCTGTTCTCTTTATGACTTTGTGGTGGGGCTGTTTTGTATTTTTTAGGAGGAAACACGAAAGAAACCCAAGATGACAATAGTGGAATCAGCTCAACCTGGTAGTGAACCTCTCTGTACTGTTGATGTTTAATGAGAAAATGTGCAAGTGGGGAGCAATAACACAAATGGAGGAACTAGATTTTCAACAATGATTTAAAAATTGTTTGCTGCAGAATGCAAGATAACTTTTAAAATCCAAGCTGCTTCAGTTATGCATTGTTCGTTTTGCATCATCAGGGCAATATTACTTTTTCCTGGTTTCTTTTTCTTTGTTTTTTTTTTTTCCTTGTTTAATACCTCTGAGATACATACGTTAAAGAATTGATCATAAAGATCTCTACTGGGGCAAATGCACAGAGGACAGGCATGTTCACACAGGATAAAACCAATCAAGCACTTTCTCCTGGAAAGCCATCCATGTTGTTTGGAATGGATGTATTTTAAGTATGAAATTCAGAATATCTATGTACAGGTTGAAGCTGATATTATATATATACACATTCATATATATGTATATATAAAAGAAGTATATGTACATCTTCTTGTATGAACATGCCTAGAACTATTTTTGTGAAAAGTTTTGTTGCATTTCAGCACATAATAATATGCACTGATAAGACACTTTGGTGACAAATACAGGAAAGTGATGAGCAATGTTTCTAATGCCATAGGATTAGGCCAGTAATGCTGTTTCTTTTTGTCTTGTTTCTTGTCTCCTGCCAGGCTTAGTTATTTGAGATTAGAGGATGCAGATTTTGTATTACTTGAAAAGAACAAGAATACCTGGTAGTGTTAAGAGTAACAGGTTGGAGATGGAAAATTACTGGGGTTTGTTTTAAATGAAAAGAGCCTGTGTTAGTTTACAGATCAGTTGAACAGGGAAAATATGGCCCCACTTATATGATTAAAGTAAAAACTGTAATTTAAAAAGCTGTTTTCAAAGCTTGGAGCCAAAATGCAGCTGATGATGGTTGATAGTCTGAAAATATTTTGCCAATGACTTTCCACTCCCTTTTCCCAGCAATAAAACAATTTCTCATTTGTTTGGTGTCAGATTGCATCTGACTTGATCAGTTAAGTCTTAATTTGCACCATAAAAGCAAAGACTTTAGAAAATAAATCAACACAACCCTTAAGTCCGACTGCAGCAATTTAGATTTTTTTAACAAGTTTTTGTTTTTACTTTTTTAATTACATTTTTAGTTTTTAAAGAAAGTGTGTAACTTCTGCAATGAAAATTAGAATGTAGATTTGGACTATGACATAGAGTAATAAGTAGAATGAGACCATAACTGGTTATACTCATAAATAAGAAAGTCACAAATATGCAACTACTCTAAACCACGATCCTGGCAAACAGGCAGTACTCACTGTGTCACCTGAGGCTTTCTCAAGCCAAGCACAAAAGCAATGGTGTGGCTGTGTGAAACCCTGCTCCCTGGCTGCTGTTCTGCACTGGGCTGCTCTGGGTCCCTCAGGACTCTGCTCCTGCAGCCGTTTCTTGGCTTGGTCTTTGGGAACAGAGCGAAAGCCGGGCTGGGGCAGGGCTGCAGTGACTCAGCCAGGAGCTGCACTGCTCCCTTGGGACACTCCTGCTCCTGTTGAGAATGAAAGGTCAGTTCTCTGTACCTGCTGCAGCTCCTGGTACTTACATTGACAGGGATCTGGGGGCTTGAGGGGTTTTTTTCTTTTGTTGTTTGTTTTTTTTTTCTGATTTTGGTGTGGTTTTGTTTTTTAATTTACCATGTTACATAGAGTGCTGCATTATATTGAATTTAGTGCCTACTGGATTTTAAAAATGTTGGCATCAGTATTGTAAGACCTCCTTTTAACATCACACATTACTTTGGAAATACGTGGATTTTAATTTATATTTCAAACTAGTGTTCTCTAATGTTCATATAATGTTAGAGGTTAAACAGGAGGAGTCATGGAGTCTTACCTGTTTCTGTGTTTAGGTGATATGCTTGGAGGTCTCTGCAAATATGAATCCACGCATTTTTTATTATTATATTTAGCTTTTTAGTTCCATGAGTTGTAATCCTGTTACAACAGGATACGGGTAGTTGGAAGACAATATATAAACTATTATTTAAAGAAGTGGCCTGTCTTAAAAAAAAAGAAAAAAACACAAAAAAAACACTGCCTCTGCTTTTTTTTTGTATAGCTTTAATAAATCTCCATCTTTTGAAGGGTATATCATATTGGTGCAGTAGTGACAAGCAGCGATTGCTGTTTGTCTATTTTCATTGTTTTTATTGGGACTTTTCTGTTTTCATGAAGACAGGGCTTTTACCTTCTATGCCTAAATGTATTACTCTTAGATAGGTTTTCTTTCAGCTTGTGTTTTCAGCAGAAAAATCTGTACTTGGATGGCACTGTAAAAGACAAATCACCCTTGTAGATCTTTTTATTTTTCTGAAATCAGAATGTCAATGCATTTGCAGGTCACCTGCAGAATATCCATGGATGCCTCACTTACCAATTTGTTTTCATTAATTTTAAAAGGATTGCTGTATTACCTCAGTCTGCCACTATCAGAATCACAAGGTGACCATTGCCCTTAATTAAAACATCCAGAGATTTCATTGTGAACCAAAGCCTAGAACGTATATTATGCATTCTAAACAAAAACAAACATAAAAAGATGGTATTAGACCTTGCTGCAGCCTTTAACTGGAGAGATGTCCAGAAAATAGCGCAATAACTGCTGGAACAAACAACGTAACTGCTGTTTTGTCATTGTGACGTATTCTTGTGTTTTAATGTTTACTATTGTTTGGGGTGTAACAGTCTTGCATTTGCACATAAGCACGAGCTGCTGTGATAGAGGATAGACCATTGCATTAACTTCAGCTTCTGCATGAACACTTACAGTGTGATTCAAGATGTATCCTAAACTTGTCTTGTAACTCTTGTGTGTTTTCTAGGTAATCGGCTGTAAAGGTTTAGATCTGATTGTATGAATGCATAAAACTGCTGCTTTTGTCACTGATACTTGTTATTTATCCCTTCTATATCCAGGGGAAGATGGGTATTTTTATAGGGATGGAGTGTATTTTTAAGAACTGTTCCATCCTTTGGGGATTAGACAGATTTTGCTTTGCATATTATGTGCTTCTCGACAAAAGTGTGGTATATTGACTTTAAGGATTAAATTTGTGTGCATTCAAATCTTCATGGTACTGACGGAAAACTTACTGTGACTAGTCAGATGCTACCTACTGAAACACCAGTCATCAGCTTTTTTAAACATATTTATTAGACAAAACTGAATTAGTTGGGTACTCAGAACTTTGGAAAGATTATTATGCATAAACTTAACTGTTGTATGTAAACTTTCATTCTCCTGTGATGCTGTTAGGCTTTATACAAATAATATTTGTAATGTCCAAGTATTTAAAAGCATCATGATTATCTTAATAATTCACTAAACTGTACTTTGGTTCTGGAGTGAAATTCAGGAAGTGATAGCCTCCTAACTTAGTGGGAAGAAATGTGAAGTGCAAGAAGCCATGCTGTTATTAACCAAATAAAATGATGGGTGACAGTATTCAATGTGTATCTGAGAACATGGGAAAACAAAACAAAGTTCATCCTTATTGCCCCAGCAGGTAACAATGGTGGCTGTTTTGAGTTGTGTTGGGTGCAGTTGCTTGGTGCCAGTGCTAAATTGGTACAACTATAAAGCCTCATTTCCACTGAGCCTCTGCTTGCTTTTTTTCTGCACAATCATGTAATCCTCTGTGTTCGGTCTTTGAGTACTCCATGTGTATTTTTCAGACAATTAGTTTCGAGCAATAAAGTTTGATATTATAAAATGTGCCAGTGTGATCAGTATTATGATAGTGTAAGCATATATAGAGAAAGGAACTTTTATTCTTCAAATTCTCTAGGTATTTTTTAAAGAGAAATTAGATCAGTGCAGCCTCATTGATTATGGAAATACTGCATCACTTTTTTGGTGAGGAATTGAATGTTTACATGGTTAAACACTTGGAATGAAATGAAGTTACTTTTTTTTTAAATTGGGATTTGTATTTTTACTTGAACCATGACAAAGCTGGAAATGTTACAACTTTTCAAATGCTGGTTTTGGTACCTGTTGGGTGCAGGTACCAAACAGTGCAGAGGTGTGGTATCAGCACAGCCATGGGCCATATTAGATGTATATTAGAAGTAGGTTGAGATGGAAGGTGGTCGCTCCTTCCAGCAGTGTTGCTGTGTGTCCTGCAGTGGATCACAGTCCGTCAGTGGCTGCAGTGAGTGCAGGGTAAGGTGCTGCTGTTCAAGGCACAGTTCAGTTCTGGCTGTCCGTTTGCAGTGGTGAGGACTTGCCTTGAGCAAAGTCCTCTCAGCTTTAGCAGTATACTGTAGGAAACCTGCAGCCTTTGTCTTGCTACAGTCTGAGAGTAAGACTGACTTCAGTTGTGGCAAGTGTAGCATTTTTATTAGACTGAGTTCGTTACTTCCTAATATTTAGCAAGTAAATTATTGTTGAAAGGGTTAATCTTAACTTGCATACTGAAAAAACACAGCACAGTTTTGAAGGAGTCAGAGAATGATGAAATACTGACAGGTAGGTCCAGGTCCCTGCAGCAAGATGATCTGCTCTGGGAATTGGGGGTGTCTTTATATAAATGTATGTATGTATCTAGGCAGGAAGGGGAAAGCAGGATTTGGGCTCATTGTATGATGGAACATCCTGTCCCTGGAAGTGTTTGAGATGAGGCTGGATGGGGCTCTGAGCAGCTGGCTGAGTGGAAGGTGTCCCTGCTCATGGCCAAGGGGTGGTTATCAGATAATCATTAAGGTCCTTTTCAACACAAACCCTTCTGGGAATTGATGATAATGAAACTTAATTCAAATCAGGATGATGAAATAAGTTGGAAGCCTTGCAATTACTCTGTTGTACAGAGATTTATTACCTGCATGTTACAGAAGTGATGTTACCAATGCAGTTAAAAATCAGAAGTAGTTTCTATGAAGTCTCTGAGGAGTTAAGGTGAGCCCTCTCTTGGACTGCAGTCCCCATGGGCAGCAGCTGCCTGGCTCCCCTCGCTGCCTGGGCTGCTGCCATCCGTGCCCTCGGTGCCACAGGCTGCTGCTGGGCTCTCCCTGGCTGCAGGTGCTGCTGCTGCAGAGCTGCCATTGGCGTACTGCACCCTCTCAAAGAAGAGCAGCAGCTCACAGTGCCTGGTCTGAGGGAACAGATCCACGGCCAGGGCTCGCACGGGCCGGAACGAGGCTCCTTTCACCCTGTTGGAAGGGGCCCGGCACAGGCTTGATGGGGAAGGGAAACAAGAGCAGGGAGAAATGAATTAATATTTCAGTGCACTGCTCAGCCCTGCTGCTCTTCTCAGAGAGGCTTTCCTTCCCTGAGCCTCAATTCCTGATAGGCTTATTCACTACCATCAGTATTTCCATTATGACTTGTGTATTGGGCAGTGCCATTCCCAGCCAGCTGCTGCAGCTGTGTCTGGTGAAAGCTAAGCCTCAAGGAACATGGCTTGCAAATAAAATTCTAGCAATGGTACCCCTCCCCAAAAAACACTGTTTTCTTCTTATCACATTTAGTAAGTCAATTTAATGCAAGAAACACTCACTCCACAAAGTTATTCATTGCAGCTCTGGGATTGCAGGAGACATAGATGAGCTTCTTCAGATGTTCAGCTCTTCTCAGGGCAAGAATTACCTTGGAATCTAGATGATCAAAACCACAACAGCTGTTTACTGGTTCTGTGTGCAGCAAGAGCCCCACAGAAAAATACCAGGTTATACTCAGCATGAACAAAACTGCAATGTTGCTCCAAGCTATACTTGAAGCTTCCATTTAATTTATCCCAATGGTGTTTTCTTTGCCCTAAACCCCTGTGAACTTACGCAGCCCAGCCCGTGGTGGATCTACAATTGTGATCAGGTTCTGAGGAGCTAAAACATTCATCAGGGAAGGAACAATATCTTCTGCCTTCCCACAGTAAAATTCAATATTATTCAGTTCTGGAAGAAAAAGAAAAGATGTTATCAGTGTACTTGTCTAGTCGAAGCAGGTTTCAGTTCTTTACTTTGGATATTAAGTTTTGATGCCTCAGAAACTCCAAATTGTTTTGTCTACCCAGTGTAATATAAACAATCACTGTTAACTTCAGACCATTCAAACAACAGTAATTTGAGCATCTTCCACTGTCTGGACTAAAGCAAAAGCCCACAAACACCAGCTATGTTAATGTTTTCTTTAGGAGGATAGCTGTGTTTTCATCTCATTTTTACACTGAAATTAATGTTTCACTTTTCAATTTAAAAAAAAACTGTTCAACTGAGAAATCGATCTCACGGGCTAACAAGGTGTTTGTTTCCAAGAGTGATTAAGTGTTTAAACGGGACAAGATCACTATCAACAACATGTAATTCCAGGCTGCTTAGATAAGGTAAAGAACTGGCTGCACCTACTCCTTACCAAACAAAGCTTCAGCATTTCAGCGTCACTCACCATTAATCTGGGCGTTTGCCTTGGCGTCCTGCACAGCTTCCTGACAGAGCTCAATCCCAATGACCTTCTTCACTCTCTGCAGAAGTAAAGGAAAAAGTTCCCTCTGTGTTCTGTATGTGTGAATTTAACCATTTTTCATAACATCAGCAATTAACAGGGACTTTAACTCCTACCCAGCCTGCTCAGCATAAGGGTGAGCTTTCATAAGGATGTGGTAAAGCAGCCACAGGCAGCTCAATTACAAATTAATTCAAAAAATTAAGATATAATCTGTTGCATTTCACATACATGAGGTATTTTCTTCCCTTCTAGACATAGTTAAAAACGAGTAAAAAGTAACTTCTATCCAGGAAGAGAAATTGCCAACCTTTGCTAAAGAAATCCCAATGGTTCCTGTCCCACAGCAGATGTCCAGCACGGTGCTCTCCTGGCTCAGTTGTGCCCACTCCCCAATGGCAGTGTACAACACTTCTGCAGCCTGGGTGTTCACCTGGGAAATTAAGGTTCCAATAGATCTACTTCTTCATAAACAGTAAATATGTTTTAATGAGTCTCAGTAAAGCATAAACAAATCATTATAAGCTAAAAACACATTCTAAAGTGTTGAAAGGGCAGAAATAAGTTTTGGAAAAGCAAACAGAGATTAGTTGTACAAGACTCTTGAACTGTATTACTGCATGTTCAGTGTTACAAAAGGCTGCCATTAAACAGAAGGAAAATTATAATGAACAAGTAAATGGAAAAAGTTGTCTTCAAGGTGCTCCCATCAAGCTTACAGTCATTCACTGCTTTTACAGCCAAACACAACACTTACTGCTATTTAATCACACCAAGTATATAAAAGGTTACATTTCTAGGTATGTAACATCTTGTTCCACAGCATTAGTCAAACTCCAGAGCATTCATGCAGATCCAGTTAAATGAGCAGCTTCACATCATCCTTACCTGAAAAAATGCATGAGGAGAAATTCTAAATTTTAGGCCAAGGAGTTCTTCATATATGTACTTATCACCAGCCACATGCTCCAAAGGCAAATCTTCTAGATTGGGAGATTTCCTGGGGGTAGGGGAGGAATGGGAAGACAAAATAGAGGGGAATCAAAACCAGAAAAAAGAAAACAAACATGTTTGCTACAATCTTTACCAAAGCTGTAATCATCCTAAAACCTGCAGTGCTGCATCCTAAGCAGTGCCATTCATCATCTGCTCTTGGAGACTCTCCTTGGCCATCAATGTCTCAGAGTGTGCAAGGACCTCCACCCTGAGTATGTGTGAGCCTTGTGCTCCATGGAGGATGGGGAGATTGAAAAATTCACATAAATAGGGAAGAAAGGCAGAAGTTACTTGATAAACACAAGCATGAATCTACTGCAGTAAACACTTCTATAGCTTGACAGGCAGCAATGGCCAGTGGGTTCACCCACTGAAACTCTTCCTGCCTTTACTCAGAGAATGGGAGATTTCAGGAGTCTCTTGAGGCAAAGGTAACTTAAACAAATCAGTAACAACTGCTGCTATGAAGTGGATAAGCAATGCTATGAAATTTGCAAACACCAAAAATCCAGACACCACCAAAACCCCCCAAAGCAAAGTCAACTTGCTCACCTCTGTCCTTCCTCCACAAAGTACAGGGAAGTAACACCACTGCTCTTTCCCATCCCTTCTGTGAAGTATTTTGCCAGAGAGATTTTCAGGTCAGCTAGCTCTTCTTTACTCAATTTCTAAAATTTTCATGTGAAAGAAGGGAGAAAAATCATTTTAGTGACTTCAAGATATCATTTAGTGCATGCTTTACATAAGAATATTACTTGTTCATTTCCATCAGATTAGTCTAAATAGAATTAGACCAACTTAGCAAGTTAAACCACACCAAGTAATTCTTCTACTTCTGTTTTGCATGCACAATTCATAAAATCCAATTTAAGCAGTTCTAAAGCTGAGCCTGGGCTGCCCATCAGCCATCACGTGCAGTACCTGAGGGTTGAAGTAAGCGATGGCCATGATGTGGCCGTGGCGGCTGGTGCGCACCGTGAGCTGCTTCCAGTGCCCCTCGTAGGTTTCGGGGCTGTACACCGAGTACGGAGTCGACCTGCAACGGGACCAGCTCGGTCACTCACACTGAGAATCCTTTCTTTGTCTAACATTCAACAGTTCATTGAATCAAAAGAAGTGATGGAAAAAATGCTGAGTACAAAAAGAGGGCACGTTCATTTGTCACACAAGGAATGACTTCCAACTAAGAAAGACTGATGGACAGTATCTCCTAAAGAAAAATAACCTGTCCCTCCTTCACACAATCCTCTTGGCCCTTTTGACCCATGCAAAATTACAGAGGCAAGAGGCAGCTTCTCACTGCATTCAGACAATGACATAACATTTTAGAATGCTTTCATTAGCTTCTCTGCTTCACACCAAGTTCAAATCTTCCATCTTCATGATTCTTCTGAGGTTCCATTTTTGTGCATTCAACTGCTTTTTAGAGAATGCAGCCTTTTTTCTAAAAAAGTACTCTTATTTAAATGTGCAGCTTTTGGGTTATTCCTTTCTGTAGGATGATGATTCTCATCCCAGAAAACAATGGACCTTGGTTAATCAATTCCTCCTTTCAGAAGTGTTTTTCTGAGTGCTTCTTTACAGTTAGTGGAAGAAGCTCCTGAGTAACACACACTTTTACTGCAGTAACACACACTTTTAGTGCAGTAACACACACTTTTACTGCAGTAACACACTTTTACTGCAGAGTTACACACACTTTTAGTGCAGTAACACACACTTTTAGTGCAGAGTTACACATCCCCTTGCTTGCAGTGAAGCTGGGTTCAGCTGGTACCTGACCCCAGCTCTGAGCAGCTGAGCAGGAGCAAGGGCAAAAGTCCCCATGATGCAGGCACAAGGCAGAAACAAAGAATTGCTAAAATGTGAGACTGGTACATCTTAGATCTCAAAGCTCAGAACAAACACAAATTAAATTTATAAATATTTTTTATTAAGATATCAAAACCTTTATGGATAACTCATTTTACTCATGCTCACCTTATGTAGTCTTGGAAAGCTTTTACTACTTTTTTGGCAATAGCAGGAATGTGAATAGTATCAAATGGCTCCACTACAGCACATGTACCACCCTTATATTTGCCAAGACGACAACCCACAGTTTTGTCTTCTTGATTTACACCAATCCCAATCAAGAACTCACATTTGTTGCGATATTCGGTCTAGATTTAAAATAAAGTTATGTAAGATATTTACACAGCATTTATTTGTACATGCCAAGTTGCTCCTGGAAAAAATCCCATGTGGTTAAATGCATTTGAAAATGGACACAGGACATTTAGCTCTTATGGACAATACTGATGGATTTTGATGTGTGTGAACTAACAGTAATAAAGAAAAGGTATTTGTAAATCTTGTTATTTAAAAAGCAAAACATTGCTTCTGTTGAGGAATGTATTAGCTTACAACAGAGGCTTGCAAAGACAGCATATTCATTTTAAAGTTATCATATCCAGTTATCAATTTCTCTGCTTCCTGTTAATATTTCCACACAGTATTTACATGAAACACAACAAAAATTCATCATTTATCACAAGACTAAGTCAAATACTCAGTTTGTCCAGTGTCTTCTCAAAACCAAATAATGAATGAACATAACCCTCAGCTCATTAACCCTGTTCCACACTTTACCTGAGATTACATTACCTGCAAGGGTGATGCTTTCACTCCCTCCACTGGGCAACATAATTTATTAAACTTCTGCTTCTGCAGGAACAACCAGGGTAATAAAGCTCGGTTGTTATTTCCTATTTCCCTGCCGCAATCAGAAACAAAAAATGTAAAGCACACATTTAGAAATATTGAGGTCAAGAGTTGCACAAGACTTCTTTTCTGTAAAGGGCACAAAAAAGAACCACATTATCACATGGAAGAGTGCTTCTTCCAGGTTTTTTTAACAGGGAAACCCTCTCCAACGTGGTAAGAGCTGTAGCCTGAAAAAGTAAAGGTTAAATGTACTGCTTACATTATGGTTATGTACTGGATTTATAAACGTACCATGCATGATAATTAATGCCAGTTTTGTCGACAGCAAGAGACAGAAGTGATACTTTGATCTTCAAAGACCAGGCATAAAATTTTGAAGAGAAAAACCTAGTAGTAATTTGCCATCTCTACAGACTGATTCTCTCTTACACCATGTGACAATGCCATTTTTTTACGGGCACAAACATCCTTCTGCTTATGGAACAACAGACTTTAAAACCAATTTCCCTTCACTAAGCAATTTTTTGAAGGGGACCAAGAACATCAATAGCAAGTTTTGTCAGATGGAACAGCTTTTAAGCTGTAGCATCGCAGATTATGTTTTAATTACTTTGACAGTTTTGACCTACCTCTAACTCACTTCAGTTTAGAGGTATCACTTGCTGTGAATTTAGCTATATCCCATCACAAGGCCAAGTCTTGTACACATTACGTTACAAACAGGAATTACTTTGTCAGCTTCTGCAGCACTTGTTCGCACTCCTGCTTCTTCTGGGCCAGCTGCGCCTCGTAGGGCACGTTCCACAGCGGGGTCACCACGTCCGCGATCCGCTTGCTCAGGGGCTCCTCTCCGCAGGGAGCCGGACGCTTCGCCTCTCCCTGCTCCGAATCCTCCTCTTGCTTCCTCTTCTTGGCGATGGGGTCTGCCTTGGGCTTGGCCAGGCGCACGCTGAGGTGGCGGCTCTTCCAGAGCGCGCCGTGCAGCACCCGCATGGCCTTGTCCCGCTCCTCCTCGCTCTTGAACGTCACGAAGGCGAACGTCTGCTTCCCGAAGAGTTTTATCTTGTGAGGGTTGAGCCCGTACTTGGCAAGGAACTTTTTCACATCGTTAAACCCGATGTATTTGGGCAGGTTCTGTATCTCTACTTTATAAATCTCGGAGGTGAACAAGTCTCCCTTAATGTATCTGTACACGTCGGGGCTCTCCGCGGGGTCTTCCCCGGCCTGGCTGTCCGCCTCAGCCCCATCTCCAGCCTCCGCCACAGGAGCCGGGTCAGGGTCGCAGCGCTGGCCTTCCTCCGCCATGGTCCCGCCACCCCCTCAGCCCCTCAGCCACCCCGCGCACCTCCCGGGGCGGGGCCGTACCCTCACGGACGGGCCGCTGCGATGAGAATGACGGTAGAGGAACGATCTGGTTGTTTTTTAAGCGCTGTCCCTCAGCGCTACCGCTCCTCGCGCCCGAAAGCACCCGCGGCCCTTAAACACACCAAAAACAGCAGCTCACTCATCACCCCTTCCCTCACGCGGGCGCCATCTTGGGCCGGGACGCGGGCGGTCGCCGCCATGGCGCGGGGGGTGATGGGAAAAGAGCCTGGGAAACGGGACAACAAAAACGCTTCTCGGGGGACGGAGGGACCCCGCCGGCGGTCGGTACCGGGGGTTGGTGACAGGGCCGGT